TGTTAAAATGTCATTAATTAAACCTAAAATACTGCTGAAATACCTAATTGAAGGAAAATAAGGATCTTAAACATGTTAATCTTTTACGTTAACATCGGCCAGCAACAAGTGAATACATGTTTTTGTCCTAAATATACCGTGCAATACGAAGCAATTAATATTCATCCCAAGAATTCTCTGGGTTGGTCCGTTTAAAGAACCGAAAACTTGTCTGGTCCATTTCTTCCTCCTCTTTCACAAATTCTTGACCCATCTCAATGAAACAAGCCAATAGGCACCGATTTATTTCAAAGGCATTTAGACATCTAATATACAGAACAAATCCTTACAGGAAAATGGCAAGATTAAACAACAGAAACAAATATATTGTGCTTAAAGCCATACTGACCTGCTGAAAGAGCTCAAATATGTATGTTCAGCCCACAACAACTGACTACCATAACACAAGTCTGAAGTCACACGTGAATTTGAAAGGCTAAAGGTGAAAATTCCTTCAAAAATTATTATGTTGAAGTAAATTGCTATGTAAGAATATTGTTGATGTAATTTATCATCTTTAATTTTTATTTTCAAAAAATTAGCTCAAGTTTTATAGTTATTGTTAATTTTTTATTAGATTTCAAGATCAATAATTTAACAAACTTTAACAGTAATTGTTAAACTTAAATTGATTTTTTTTAAATAAAAATTTAAGTTGACAAATTGCATTAATATTTTTTCTGAATGGTAATTTAGTTCAATGTAACAATTTGGGTAATTTGCATATTTTGGCCAATTTTGGAAAGAAAGCAGTTTTGGGAATTCAAGTAATCTTTTGTGCAACCTAACAGCTTAATTTGGATCCAGCTTACGAGGGAACAATACAACTTCGAAGGAAGAGGCTATTGTGAAAATGTATATATATATATATATATATAACTCTATGTAAGATAATAAACTTAAGTGTTATATTATATGATATTTTAGACTAAAATAGGAGTAATGGTAAAATTATACTATTTTTACTTTCAAAAAAAATTATACTATTATTATATCTTCAAATCAACAGTTTGATAAAAAATAAAGAGGTTGTCTTATTATAAAGAATGAATTTGTCCTTTTTTTTTTTATAATTATTATAATAATAAATATAATGAATGCTTACGGAAATTTATAAATAAATTTAATTTTATAAAAAAAATTAATTTTATTAAATGTACTACACTAATGTGAGGTATACTTTAAGA